GCAAATACTCTGCAGAAGACTGAGCCATGCCCACTGTTCAAATAATGAAGTCAGCATCCATAGAAATCCCCAGAAACCCTGTCCAGCTTCCTTATGAAGTCTGGAGCCTCTCCAAATCCTCCTCAGCCTATTTTCTGGACTGGCTCTCCTCTTTTAAAAATGCCCTTGCAGGTATTTCAAGAGCACTCAAGAAGCTGGAATTGCTCTAAAGGGGTGCTAAAAATGCGTTTTAGGCAAGATTACATCCAAAATCGTGCGGGAAGAGAATTCTACAAGTTTTGTGCTACATTAAGAAGACTGCTGGTGTTTATGTGCCAGGCTGACTTGTGCCATTCCAGATATTAAAATTATTATTCGGCATTACAGCGCTAGCTCGATGTCCGGCACTAATGTGCCCTCCGAGAATTAAAATTGAGCCGCAACGGCTGGCTGGTGCATGTGCAAATTCAATAGTTCTCTGGCTGCGCAGCATTGCCAGATGCGCCCCATGAGGGAAAACAGAGGACAAAACTTCCTTTGTGCCGCACAGTTGTCCTTTGGAAGCCGGATTTTTACAGGAATCATCCAAGGATGGTGTGACGTCATGGAGGAATCACATAAGTGGCTGGTGTCAACAGTCAGCTGGATTGGTCACCTGCCAAGGCTCTAAGCCTACAGAGGAAGGGACCTACTTGTATACACTTCCAAACTCCAAATGCACCTTCTTCCCCCAGAAGAGAGCAAAATGATGACCAAAATCTAGTTAGGGTAAAAAAAATATCGAATCTTTCAGACTGCACCAGCTAATACAGTCAGAGGTCATGCCAGACAAAGGATTCTGAGCATATGCTGCCCAAAAAGTATTAAGTTACCCAACATTTGGGGATGGTGAGGATGCAGAAAGCATGCCGGATGTCCCATCACACCATTCTATCCATCACCATTCCTGATTGCTTTCCATAGGGACACAAAGCAGCAGGCTGAACCAAGTGGGATAAAAATCAGACATAACGTTCAACAAAATGAGAAACACCAAGTGACAGTATAATTCAAAAGATGGTGACTTCATATTTCCTTGTCTGGAGTCCCAACCACCTAAAGGTGATCTGTCCCAACTCAGATGTTTCCTCTCCCTTCCTGTCCCTTAACGGGAGATACATTTTATTGAGATTTCATTGAGTTTCAGGATCCAAGACAATAATAGAATTTTCTAAGGTTGCAAACAATGCTCAGTTTGATAACCACTCCAGTGTCTGGCTAGTCTTCTGAAAGAATACGGATTCACACCAGTGCTTCCCAACCTTTGGTTCTCCACCAGTTTTGTATTGGGTTTAGGGATCCAAAATCAGACCATAACAGAATTGTCTGGGTTTGCTAACAAGGCTCAGTTTGATGACCACTACAGCATCTGGCTAGTCTTCTATATGGATTTGCACCAGTGCTTCCCAACTTTTGGTCCTTCACCAGTTTGGGACTTCACCTCCCAGGAGCCTCAGCCAACTTCTGGCTAGTCTTCTGAAAGAATATGTATTTGTACCAGTGCTTCCCAATTTTTGGCCCTTTACCAATTTGGGACTTCAACTCCCAGGAGCCTCAGCCAACTTGGCCAACCCTCAAGAATTCTGTAAACTGAAATCCAAAACACCCAGAAGACCAAAAGGTTGGTAACCACATCATATTCAGCAGGTAACATTTTGATTTTTGCCAGGAGTAGATGAAACATAATGTTCCAGATCTCTCCAAATAAGAGAGTATCCCGAAAAAGTAAGAAAGATATTCAACATTAAGATATCTTACAGCATTACAAAATATTCAGAGGTGGCAACCATCTGGAAAAGAGCACTGAAATGTTTCTTTTTGGCAAGGTTCTGAATTCCTAGGATTATTTTTCACGAGATCAGGGATGGTCAATCGGAAACTCCTGCTATTGTTGGATTGCCATCCTTATTTTTTAAATGCTGGCTATATTACTAGGCATTGCGATTTGACAACATCAGAAAAGTTACAACCGCTGCTCTAGACGATGCACAAAATGTCTAATCAAAAACAAGAAGGGCAATGTTACCAATGTGGATGTACTGAAGAATTAGTTCCTGAACCTGCTGAAATAGGTTGACCGGTGTTGCTAGCTACCAATAGATTAATTGTACCCCCTTCTCATCATGTGCAGGTTAGAAGTTGCCACAATTAAAATGAATAAATATTGAATCTCAGGAAGGCAGAAGTGACATCTAGACATCAATGAATAACAGAGCAGGAATCAATAAAAAACAAGAGGCATAGATCCTAGAATTCAGAATGCTGAATTAAGTAGTAGTACGTCACTGTCTGCAATGGAAATGAAGAGAAGGATGAACTATATTTATGTTTACAGATAGAAGAAGAGGGCCCTGCTTGGAGGTGCAGGAATGATTTTATATGGATTCAAGATAATTAATTCCTGCAGTAAGACTTCACAGTATGTCAGACTACAGCTCTTGAAGAGAAGAGAAAACCTAAACATATAACTTGCTGCTATTAACATAGTATAGCTGCAACATAGGATGGGTTATTCATTCTAGAGCAGTGGTTCTCAACCTGTGGGTCCCCAGATGTTAGCCTTCAACTCCCAGAAATCATAACAGCTGGTAAACTAATTGGGATTTCTGGAAGTTATAGGCCAAAACACCTGGGGACCCACAGGTTGAGAAACAATGTTCTGGAGAGTTTTTGTTTTAAAATCTAGGAAGGAGTGGGCAATTTACAACCTCCAGGTGTTGTTTGGACTGCAATTTTTATCATCATTCACCAGTGGTTACAATGACCAAACTGATGGAATCTACACCCCAACAACACTGGGAGGGCTACAAGTCAACCATTTCCGATCTAGATGATCACAGTGGTGCTCAAGGGGATATTCATAAGACTGTTCAGACTGGGACTTCTTAATGCTAGAAAACAGAAGTTATATTTTCAGTCTTCCTAAGACTATCACCAGTGCTCCAAGCTCCAAACCCAGCTGGAGTTTGGAGAAGTTACTTTTTTGAAGCACGGTTCCTCAAATCATGGCATCTGGCTAGCTGGGAGGATTTAGGGAGCTGTATTCTCCAAAAGTTACTTCTCCAAGATCAGCAACATCCTGACAACAAACATAAACAGGACCTCAAAAAGTTGTACATAGGTCAACTTGGCCCATGGCCACCAAGAGGAACACCTGAACTTCGGAGACCAGAGATCAGGGTGATCCAACCCCAGCTGGAGCTTGGAGAAGTTACTTTTTTGAAGTATGGTTCCTCAAATCATGGTATCTGGCTAGCTGGGAGGATTTGGGAAGCTGTATTCTCAAAAAGTCACTTCTCAGAGATCAGCGACTTCCTGACAACAAACATAAACAGGACCACAAAAAGTTGTACATAGGTCTATTTGCCCCATGGCCACCAAGAGGAACACCTGAACTTCAGAGACCCGAGATCAGGGTGGTTCAAGATCCCCTCCAATCACGAAGAGTAGGCCAAATTTCTCCAGATGTGAACTCTTTCATCCCAAAGGAAGCTGAGCCATCACAATGGCAGGGTGATATTGACACTTTAGGCAAGGACGAGAAGTGGTAGGGTTGTCATCTGACTCTCTGAATGGCTCACGCAAAATCAAGCTGAAGGAGGAAGACCTGGATGCTTCTCTGCACACAAACAACTCCCTTCTGCCCCAGAACCATAGGCTCAGTTCCAGTGAAATCACTGTAATATTGCTGAGGAGACGCGGAAAGCAAGAAAGAAGCTGAAGAGCTAGTTCTCTCCAAATTCTGGAGAGATTTGTAGATGCTGGTGAGAAGGAACAAGTGGGCTCTAGGCTCAGAAAAGCTTATCCCTGAGGCTTGTTGGGAGGAGGGAAGAGAGAGAAGACCATGTTTCCAGAAATGCATCCTGCCCCACCTCAAAAACTCTGTTAGAAGCAACTATGAGAATCAAGCTAGCCTCAACAAGGGTATGAATGAGCAATATTTCTCTTTTTCCCACAACTAGCTTTCCTCAAAGTTTTGCTACTTCACTGCTCTTTCTCCCCCTCTCACGCATATATTTCTGAATCCACATGCCTCCTCTTCTCCAAATTATGTTCCTCTGAAAATGTTCTATCCTGCTTCGTCTTAAGGGCAAGCTACCCTCTCCCCAAATGTCCATTTCTGTCTGGTTTCTCTCAGTCCTCCAATTTCAGTAGATTCTTTCTCTTAAACATGTAACAGATGTGTTTTGTTAAAAACAATCCTTGTTCCAATAGACTCAATAAGACATTCATTCTCAAATGCACACCGTTCCCTCACCCGAGATCATCTACAGTGGTCAGAGCTTGGAAAAGCCTACTTTTTTGGACTATCACTCACAGATTTGTCCAACTAATATGATGAGGAACTACAGTCCTTTTTCCAGCCACCGATTCTGGCTCAGGTACAAATGAATCCACTCTTTGGTCCCAATTATGTAAGACTTCCTCAACCCACCTCTACATTTCATCTTCTAGCTTGATACGTTGCATCTTGGTCCCATGAAATGCAACTAACCAGTTGTTTCCATGCTCGTTTTATGAGCCTCCTTTCCTCCTTCCAATCAAAAAATCCTCTTCCATAAAAGCAGGCAATTTGCTTGAATACATTAACTAAGTTTGGGGGTTCTTTGGCCCTTGGTTATTGGGACTTCAGCTCCAACAAGACCAAGTCGATGAGACCAGAGGATTATGGATGGAGGTCACAGGTCAACAGTGCTGAAGAGCAGAAGGTTCCTTATCGTTATGGTAAACTGCAAGTATAGGAAGTTATAAGGATCCTACAGATTTGCATACTCTGGATCCACATTTTTCACTGACTACAGATAATCAAATCCCATATCAGTAAATGGTGGCAAAATAAATACAGACACATTAAAGCAGGCACAGGCAAGCTTGGGCTGTCCGGGTGTTTTGGACTTCAACTCCCACAATTCCTACCGGCTGTTAGGAATTGTGGGAGTTGAAGTCCAAAACACCCGGATGGCCCAAGTTTTCCTATGCCTGCATTAAAGTGTGCACATCTATGTCACCCCCAATTTAAGAATAATATGGGACATGATTATCCATGTTTTTCCATATCTGTGGTAGGTCCCAAAACTGAACTAAAGCAGGTGTGTCAGACCCACTGTAACGTGTGCTCTCTACAAACCGAAGACATAATCTCTACCTTGAAAATTAAGCAAAAAACTCAAGGTCAGTGTAAATAATAGTTCTGTGAAAATCCAAAAACTCGATGAAGATGTTCTCCTGTGAAATTGTGAGCTGAGTGTGCTTCATACGTGCATGTCTGGACTGGAAACATAAACCAATGGCCAAATACAGAGCTTGCCAAGGTGACCTTTTAGCACTAAGGGAACAGAATTTTTAGGAAGTGTCATGCAAACTTCAGCAAGTGCTGCATGGTTCTCTGTCAAGGAATCCAAGAAGGGATCTTATGACCTCTACTTTGCTTTCCAAATATAACTACCCAGTTCTTATGATGGGAAAACCAATTTAACACTGGTAAATATGTGTAATGTATCCTGCACCCATTCCCTCCTTGATACCTGCTGAAGGCTGTCACTGCACATGGATTTCCCTTCCCAAACAAATGTCACTTTGCCTCATCGCAGCTCATAAGTTGGGACTGGGGAATCCATTGCAGTCAAAAGGTTTGGTAACACAAGATCATATTCCCTGTATCAGTCGGTGATGTTTTCCAAATAAGCAAACATATCATTTGTCCAGACATCCTAAACCAGTGCTTCTCAACCTGTGGGTCCCCAGGTGTTTTGGCCTACAACTCCCAGAAATCCCAACCAGTTTACCAACCTGTTAGGATTTCTGGGAGTTGAAGGCCAAAACATCCAGGGATCCACAGGTTGAAAACCTCCATCCCAAACAAAAGATATCAGCTCCTTCTTCCTGACTATTCTGGAAGACGGTCCCATTATTCTCTTTGGTTTCCATCCCACATGTCTTCCCCAATAAATAAGAGGAAGTGGCTAGAAATACCAAGAGGTGGCTTAAGGACGCCTACATCCTCGTCACGCCAGTTATTGTTTACATGTGTCAGTAGCCGACGGTTCCTCTTCCTTGCCTGCCTCTCCCTTCGTCGCATCAAGGTCAGCACTCTGTTCATCTTCTTGGGGCTCCGGCGGTCCTGCCCGGATGCTGACGCACAAAACCAGGGTCTGTAAGAAGCCGTAGAGGCACGCAAACTGCACAAGGTACTCCTGCACTAGCCAGAGGGCTAAGTACATGCCGTAGGCGGTGACCAAGAAGCAGGCAAAGCCGTGGAGCCAAACCTTAATGGAACCCCCGAATCCCACAATGTCCAAAACTAGCCGGAAAGCTGGTGAGGAAGCGCACAGCAACGTCACCACGCAAAGGTCAAAGAGGTGGCGGGCAAAGTTGAAGCAGATCTGGAAATGCTCCGGCGACTCCATGGAGGCCTTCGGTGGGGTCAGGTGCTGAGGTATGCTGGCCAGCAAGGAGTGAGCTCCGCCAGTAGCGTTTTCGCCCCAGCCGATGGCTTCCAAGATCCGCCGCCCATTCCACCATCTCGCTTTGGAAGGAGGAGGCGCGCGGGGCGGCGTCTTCTCGAACCCTTCCTTCCAGTCCTCCTGAGGCTTGCCCCAAACATCTTCTGCCTTTGGCCTTCGCCAAGGCAGACCAGGCAGCCACGATTTGGCACGGCTGAAGAACATGGCGAGAGGGAGAGAAACCGCACTCTCTCCCTGGCTCAGAGAAATAAATAAATATATATTGTGGAGTGCTTTCTTTAAAAAATAAAACAGAAACGGGTGCTTAAGAATAGATCTTTAGTTGATCTGTGATTCTTTGAGATCAGCTGCCATTTGAAAGGAAAGAGATAACCATAGTATGTTTCCTCCCAGCCGACATCGATCTGATTTGCGGTACTTCAGATCTTGAGGGTGTTGCCGAAATCTCCAAGCCAAACCACAGCTGTGGTTCAGCCAAGCTCAAAGCTGGTCTAGGCTCTGGCTGTTGGGAATATAATTTCCTCCATTCCAGGAAATGCATGGGGTGGGTTGTGGTTGATTATTCTACAGATGGGAGTAAGTTCAGCTGTTGCCACGTTGCACTGGATTTTCCAATTCCCTTGGAAAACTCATGGGTCAATTTACAATGCACAGGCCAGTTTCTCAAAACGAGCATGGAGAGGCCCTCCCTTATTTCCAGAATGGTATATTTGTACATCCACCATGTGAGACTTCAGATGCTCATCAAACAAAAGATCTTGGGTTCTGCTGCCTTCGGACAAAGCGAAAATCCTTCACTTCGAAACCTGGAACCAAGAAAGCAAGTTTAAGTCAGCAAAGCATTAAAGAAGGGATCAAGTTGTAAGGCATGGGGTAGACTCTCAGGTCCACAGGAAGTCATTCAATTGCAAATTGCGACTCTTAATGAAGAAAATACGGGTTGTTGCAGATTTTTTCAGGCTATATGGCCATGAGCGAAGGAAGATAGATGCTTTTGAACTGTGGTGCTGGAGGAAAGTTCTGAGAGTACCTTGGACTGCGAGAAGATCCAACCAGTCCATACTCCAGGAAATAAAGCCCGACTGCTCATTGGAGGGAAGGATAATAGAGACAAAGTTGAAGTACTTTGGCCACATCATGAGGAGACAGGAAAGCCTAGAGAAGACAATTATGCTGGGGAAAGTGGAAGGTAAAAGGAAGAGGGGCCGACCAAGGGCAAGATGGATGGATGGCATCCTTGAAGTGACTGGACTGACCTTGAAGGAGCTGGGGGTGGTGACGGCCGACAGGGAGCTCTGGCGTGGGCTGGTCCATGAGGTCACGAAGAGTCGGAGACGACTGAACGAATGAACAACATATGGCCATGTTCTAGAGGCATTCTCTCCTGACGTTTCGCTCATCTATGGCAAGCATCCTCAGAGGTAGTGAGGACTCACTACCTCTGAGGATGCTTGCCATAGATGCAGGCAAAACGTCAGGAGAGAATGCCTCTAGAACATGGCCATATAGCCCGAAAAAATCTACAACAACCCAGTGATTCCGGCCATGAAAGCCTTCAACAATAAGAGGAAAATACGAATTGTAAATTCCAAATAGCACTTTTTTTCAGTCCCCATTTTCCTCTGTTTCTTAGTACAATTTTGGAATGAATTTCATCTTAATGTACAAAAACATGGTTCAAAATTCCCCCCACCAAAAAATTAAAAATTCTACATGTCTTTTTTAATTTCTATCCTAATTCAGAGCTTTCCAAACATTTCATGTTGATGACACACTTTTTTGATAGGTATCACTTCACGACACAGTAATTCAGTTTTACTAGCAAACCAGAGGTCAAACCAACTCTTTATAAGAGATACAGACACAACAAAAATAATGAAGTATATGGGGGAACATACACAAGTGGCCATGCGGTCATGCTGGCCACATGACCTTGGAGGTGTCTATGGACAACGCTGGCTCTTCGGCTTAGAAATGGAGATGAGCACCACACCCCAGAGTCAGACATGACTGGACTTAATGTCAGGGGACAACCTTTACCTTTACCTATACCAGTGGCACAGTAGGTTAAACCGCTGAGCTGCGGAACTTGCTGACCGAAAGGCTGACAGTTCAAATCTGGGAGGGGGGTGAGCCCCCACTGTTAGTCCCAGCTTCTGTTAACCTAGCAGTTTGAAAACATGCAGATGTGAGTAGATCAATAGGCACTGCTCCGGTGGAAAGATAATGGTACTGCATGCAGTCATGCTGGCCACACGACCTTGGAGATGTCTAAGGACAACGCCAGCTCTTTAGCTTAGAAATGGAAATGAGCACCACTCCACAGAGTCGGACACAATTAGACTTAATGTTGAGGGGAAACCTTTGCCTTTACTTTTTATGGGGGAACAACATATTTCATGGAAACCTTTCATTCATATATAATATATAATATTATATATTATAATATAATAATAATATATAATTTACTGCTTATTTCACATAGACCCAAAGATTTCTCATTAAATTTAATTAAAAACACAACAACAACAAAGAAAGCATTCAATTAACATCACGAGTGTGATAGCATTCTCCATCCTGCTGTGGGTGCCTTCAAGTCATTTCTGGCTTACGGCAACTCAAAGCATCACAGAATTTTCTTGGTAAAATTGGTTCAGAACCGGTTTGTTATTGCCTTCCTCCAGGGCTGAAATAATGGGAGACGTCCATGGCAACCTGATGGGTTTCCACAGCCGAGCAAAGTGTGGTCTCCAAGAGTCCATCACATAAACAACTACACTATTTTGGCATCCCTTGTCCGGAAGAACAAAATCTTCCAAAATTCAAAGTTATCCACAGAGGTGGCCGAGATAATAAAACTTTAACTTTCTCTCAGTTCGATGTACACAGACGTTGCTTCATGCGCAAAAATTATTTAAAATTCTATGCATTTAATTTCCTTCAGGCCATAGTGGTCCATCTAGAATGGACTACTGCAATGCACTCTATGTGGGACTGTTTTTGAAGATGGCTCAGAAACTGCAGTTAGTGCAAAGGTCAGCATCCAGATTACTAACTGGAGCTGGTTATAGGGAGTGTACCATGAGATTGTTGTTTATTCGTTCAGTCGCTTCCAACTCTTTGTGACCTCATGGACCAGCTCATGCCAGAGCTCCCTGATGGCCGTCACCACCCCCAGCTCCTTCAGAGTCAAGCCAGCCACTTCAAGGATACCATCCATCCATCTTTGTACAGGTTACTACCTATAAAGCCCTATATGCTTCAGGTCCAACCTATCTACGAGACCGTATCTCCTTCTATGAACCAGCACAGGCACTAAGATCTATCAGGGAGGCCCTCCTCTCAGTCCCACCTCTGTCTCAAGTGTGGTGGAGATGAGAGAAAGGGCCTTCTCAGTGGTGGCTCCCTGTCTTTCGAATGCCCTCCCAAGAGAGATTAGGCTAGCCCCCATCATTATTATTATTATTATTATCATTATTATTATTATTATTATCTTTATTTGTACCCTGCTAGCATCTCCTGAAGGACTCGATGCGGCTTACAAAGGCCAAGGCCACAATAAAACAACAATATAACAATTACATATAAACCAAAAGCAAATCAAAAACATTAAAGCAATAACAGTAAACAGTAAAAACAGCACACCGTGACACAATAAAACTAGGCCGGGCAAATGTACTGGGTACAGATTAAAAAGTGCTGAGTATGCTGAGTGATATAAGGATTTTGGATAAGTGCAATGTGTGGACAATCTTAATCTCTAATAAAGTGCTTTTGGGACGTGTTGCTGGGATTTCCTATTCTGGAAAGGCACACCGGAATAGCCAGGTCTTCAAGCTCTTCCTAAAGACTGCCAACGTAGGAGCTTGTCTGATGTCCTTGGGGAGGGAATTCCAGAGTCGGGGGGCTACCACAGAGAAGGCCCTGTCCCTCATCCCCACCAACCGCGCTTGCAACGCAGGTGGGATCGTGAGCAGGGTCTCTCCGGATGAACGAAGAGAGCATGCGGGTTCATAGACGGAGATGCGGTCACGCAGGTATTCTGTATACAATTGAAGACATGGGCTTTTTGACAAGTCTTGACCATGTTTAGAATCTCTTAATGAACATATTTGAGGACCTAGAGATTATTTCACCGTGTATTTTATGATACTGATATTGATTGCAGTTGTTTTTACACCTGTAGCTATCATTTAAATTTTACTGATCTTAACCAAGGTGTGTGTGTGTATGTGTGTGATGAGATTTATTTGAGCACAATTTGGATTGATCTGGATGATGTTTTTAACCTGGTGAATTGTTTTAATGTATAGTTAGATTGTATTTGGATATTTGATTGTGTTTTATTATGTGTTTATATTGTGTTGGCATCGAATTCTTGCCTCTTGGTAGCTGTCCTGAGTCCCTCTTCGGAGGTCGAGAATGGACAAGGTATAAATGTTCTAAATAACAAATAAATAAATAATGTTGGTTGTTTATCGCTTTTGTGTTACTGTCTTTGCACTTTTTGTATTTTGTGTGTTTGCACCTTTGAGTGCTTTGTGAGCCACCCCGAGTCCCTCTGGGAGATTTATTTACAAAAAAGCAGGGTATAAACATAATACACAAAATAGTGATAATAATAATAATTGCAGGTGACAGCAGGATTGAAGAGAAACAACTGGAAAAGCTGACACGATATGAGGATTTAAAGATCGAACTGCAAAGACTCTGGCACAAGCCAGTCAAGGTGGTCCCAGTGGTGATCAGCACACTGGTTGCAGTGCCTAAAGACCTTGGCCTGCACTTATATTATTATTATTATTATTATTATTATTAAACTTTATTTGTACCCCGCTAGCATCTCCCGAAGGACTCGATGCGGCTTACAAAGGCCAAGGCCTCAACACAACAACAGCATAACAACAACAATACAATTCAAAGCAAATCAAAAAACATAAAGCAATAACAACAACATTACACCATAACACAGTAAAAACCAGGGCCGGGCCAAGTGATGGGTACAGATTAAAAAAGTGCTGGGTGTGACAGGTGGTATGTTGGATTTCTGGGCAAGTGCAGTGTGCAGAGAATCTTAAACTCTAGTAAAGTGCTTCTGGGACAAAGTGCTGGGTTATCCTATTCTGGAAAGGCACGTCGGAATAGCAAGGTCTTCAAATTCTTCCTAAAGACTGCCAACATGGGTGCTATTCTAATGTCTTTGGGGAGGTCGTTCCAAAGTCGGGGGCAACCACAGAAAAGGCCCTGTCCCTCGTCCCCACCAAACGCGCCTGCGACGCAGGTGGGATCGCGAAGCAGGGCCTCTCCGGATGAACGAAGGGAGAGCGTGGGTTCATAGACGGAGATGCGGTCACGCAGGTAGGCAGATTCCAAACTGTTTAGGGCTTTGTAGGTAAGCACCTGCACCTTGAATTGGGATCGGAAGGTAAACGGCCGCCAAAGGAGCTCCTTAAACAGGAGGGTTGACCTCTCTCTGTAAGGAGCACCAGTTAACATCCTGGCCGCTGCCCGTTGGACCAGTTGGAATTTCCGAGCCGTTTTCAAGGGCAGCCCCATGTAGAGCGCATTACAGTAGTCCAATCTAGAGGTGACCAAGGCATGGACCACCCCGGCCAGATCACAAGGTGCTGACAAAATTACCATCGGCCAGCTGCAAAAAGCCACCTTACTGGCATCTGCACACATTATTCGCTGATACATCACACAGTCCTAGACACTTGGGAAGTGTCCAACATGTGATCCAATACAACAGCCAGCAGAGTGTTCTTGTCTGCTGTGGACTCATCTTGTTGTGTTTCTAATAATA